TTTCCAACTATCGGAATAGTAGTTGTATAGATCTTTGGCAGTCCCTCTCCCAACAACGACCAAATACGACCCCTCCCCCTTTATAGCGTCCGTGAAACAAGAGAAATCAACTACCAAAAAATTTTTCTCAGACCAAATACGACCCCCCCCTCCCTCGCGGTGAAATAACCCCCGTTGTGATCATCACAACGATGGCGTGCCCTGGATATACAAAGTGTTGCACATGGTACATAGAAACGGTAGTACAAGTGAGCCACTCCGGTTACAAGAGTTCACAGGTCTTCACAAGGTGGCCTGTACAAGCTTCCCTGAGTACCATTCACTGTACCCACCTAGCCGAACTGCGCCATTTTCGTGTAAGTTGCTAACGTACATTTCGCGAGCAGTCATGTACCGGATTTCCCTGGAGCAAGAGAATTGGGATCACATGGGACAAGAAAGGTCGGCAATGATTCTATGGTCGCTAATGTTTTTGCGCACGAGAGCGAACCTTGTACCAGTAACTGTAGAAGGAATTTGTGGCCTGTTATACTCAACAGGAACTAAGCACTAAGTAATATTGCACTGCATATAGAAGTGATGAAAAAAAGTTGAAATTTGCTCCTGACAGAGGCTTCCCACGAGGACTCAAAATTGCATTCGACTGAAGACAAGTGAGCGAAAGGAGGAACAGCGTGGCTGTCAAAACTGATAAGAACGGCGCGCGCATCAATATTCAAGTCCATTCCAGTCAGTGGGTGAGACAACAGCGCAAATTAGAATGAACGGTTCATAACTGCACATTATAAGCAAGTTCGTGAGCTCGAGGCTAGGGTACTCCCCCCCACCTCCCACAGGTGTGATCAGCCTGCCCCCTAAATGAATAGTGGTGCATCGCGCAGCGCAGTTCGTCTATTATCGGAGAGTGGAACATTCCCACAAGTGCAAAAGTCGAAATCCTTCAATTTTTGCCGTATGAAGGGAGTGAGGACACTTCAGCGAGGTGAGGCCTTTAGTGCTGAATGAACGATTCTTAGCTTTGGGAACAGGGCACGTCCTGCCGGTGGGGAAAACTTTCGTCCGTGTACCGTCGAGTCCGTGTGCCCCACCCCTTTGGGAGTGGCCTGATACGACCCCCACCCCTTCCCCATCCTACCTACCACTTTCTTGGATTTTCCCAGCTTTATACCCTTTTTCAGTTCTTTCGTAAGTTTCTCGAAAATTTTCCTACAAAATTTTGCTGTCGAGTTAGGATAGATAGCACATGTGCAACAGAAAACTCAACAACCGGAGAAGTTTTCTCCAACGCCGCAAATTCTCTCAGAAGTCAATTTCGACCCCCCCCCCCCTCTCCCAACAATAAGCAACTACAACCCCTCCCCCTTTACAGAATCCGTGAAACAAGAGAAATCAACTGTCAAAAAAATTTCTCGGACCAAATTGGGATTCCCACACGTACGACGTTTTCTTTGACATGACAACATGGCAAACCATGGTGGCGCGCGCCCTATCGTAACCATGTGGTATTTGCATTTGTCGCGCGCGACGCCGCGTGGTTCTACCGTCACATACCCTGCTCTGAACCAGAACGCCTCAGTTCATCGGAATGGTGCCGAAATAACCGGCTACGCGGATTCTCTTTCCCTCTTGCCCTTCTTTGATACAGAGTATCCACTTCTTACTAGCTCAACTCCCTTTCTTTCCAGTCGTCCACTTCCTATTAGTTCTTTCACAATACGAAATTGGTAAGGAACAAGTTAGAATGAATTCTTTATCAACTCCAACAACGACAAATAATGAGATCAAAACCGTTACATAACTTGAATAGGCGACCATTTGTAAAGGCTCCAAAATATGAAAATCAGTGAATATGTTGACATACATGTGTTCCTTAGGCAGCCATTTCATTCACTTTAGAGTTGGGGCTGTTAGCTCGGAATGAGCCTGTGCAGTACTTCTCGTCGGACGCATCCCAGCAGTCCTCTACTCCATCGCACAGACCTCCCGGAGCTACACACTTCTTATTGTCGTGACATTGGAATTGTCCCGGAAGACATATGCGAGGCGCTGAAAGAGCAATGGGAATTTTGAAAGGTCGGTAGTCCCGAATCCTGCGGACTTTCTGATGGCTCACTGGGTTAGTATAGGAGGCACGGGTTAGGTTTGTCCGGATCACACCTGGAAGGTAGGGGAAATACTTGATGGAAATCGTTCATGCTGTCAACGAAATGAGAGATTAGCAAGAACATAATAGACAAATTCTGATGCAACACATGTTAAGGAAGGAAATGTTAGTTGAAAAACAAATAAGAACAACGACATGCTGTACAATTCGAGATGAGATGAGGGAGTGAGGAAGTTTCCAGAAAGCCAGGACGCAGTAGCGGATGCCACGGGAGAAGTTTCATTCATAGGTGTGGACAACTCACGGCAGTTAGTTTCGTCGGCATGGCTCTGGCAATGGGAGATACCGTCACAGAGATACAGCATTGATACGCATCTAAAATAATGGTGTTACAGCTTTTTCTATTTTTTCTTGATATTGGTATACTCTTAGATGGAGAGGGCATGGCCACGCACTTTATTTGAACGTATTAGTGGCTGCATTTTTGGTGATATATTGCCGTTTTAGGACAATTGTAAGGCTGCGTTCATACTTTGTGGCAGCGTCCACCAGCGACCAGTAGCGTCCACCAGCGTTCCAAGCGTCGGCAGCGTCAGCGACTAGGAAAGCATAGATATCTATTGTCTGACAGCGTCCATCAGAGACCAGCAGCGTAGATATCTCTATTGTCTGACAGCGTCCATCAGCGACCAGCAGCGTTCGGAAGTGGAGAATATGGGGCCATAGGAGGGTAGCAGACAGCTGGTAGAGACTATGGGGCGCTGTGGGTAGAGTATGGAGGAGATAGGAAAGTAAGACAGCTGGTACCCTCTTATTCTATACTCTCCACCAGCTGTCTACTGCCCTCCTATCGCACCATACTCTCCACTCCCAGACGCTGCTGGTCGCTCGTAGACGCTGGTAACGCTGGCAGAAGCTAGATCAAGCTCTATACTTTCCTAGTCGCTAACGCTCGCAATTGGTGGACGCTATTGGTCGTTAGTGGACGCTCCCGCAAAGTATGAACGGGACATGGTGAATTGGACCCGGGCTCATTACGCCCATCCTGCCGACGCCCATCGTTGCGACATTATCACCAAACCTTGTCAGCTGGTGTGGTAATAAAGAATATAGTTCAAAACAGGGCTGCGGCAAGGGCAGCTCTTTCGCTGAAAAGATCTCATGCGGGATCATTCACAGTGGGACCGAACTCAGTCAAAGTGGCAGCGCATTATTTACCTACGAAAGATTGTTAATTTGCGCGCGATGCCGCGCCTCAAAATGTGTGACCTACATCGTGCAATGGACGGATCAGAATTAACTGTCTAGTTACTAGAGACTTATCGATCGTTGCCTCACATTTGAAGCAGTCACTTCGAAAACGCGAGCACTCTTAATGTCTCATTAGCGCAGCGCGCGGCACGACCAATCGATACTATTGTGTCGAGGAAGATTAGCGAATAAACATAAAACATGCTGACTTGGCCTCTGTTCCGCCGCACTCAATGTGATTAGAATCACAGTTGCTGGTACAATTCTTTCCGTTTTTGTGCAGTTCGTAGCCTTCTCCACATCCACACTTCGCCGTCCGATTTGGTCCAAGCAGGCAAAGCTGGCTACATCCGAGCGTGTCGCATTGAGACGGGACTGAAATAAAAGTGTTTTCGAGGTTTCCTAGTCAAAATCCAGAACTACATCGAGGAAGAGTGCAGCTTGAGCATAAAAATGGAGACTCATATCTCGGAAACAAAAAGTTCTAAACGCGGGGAGGGTCAATGTAGACGCACTACGCCCTTTCTCACCATCTCTACTTTCAGAAGTGAGCTGCTGTTGGCCTGGGAAAAGAGTTTTTCGTGTGCTCTTGGTTTAAACACGGCAGAGGATGCGTTTTTTCGTAGGAAATCCCTATTAGAGACATCACCTGTCCTATCTTATGTAGGAAAAAACATAATTACAATGTCCCAAAACAAAAATATTCCGCCACAGACGCAGCCGACGAGCGCATATGTGGAGTACGCAGCTACGCTCCGCACCTCCCCCCCCCCCTCCCCCACCCAACCACTCCATCTGAAACATGGAGTGAATTTCCATTGATAAAGCTGTTGCTGGCAGTTCAGGCACCTTTCGGCGATATCGGCTTGACGTCGTGGTAAACGGACCCTCATGACTATTACGCCCTTTTCATTGGCTCGGCCGTTCTCTCCACTGTATTGGAATAAGGCGAGGGAGCGTAAAGATGAGGAGAGCGCATTGATAGGAAGTTCCGTCCACCCGGCTAACCCGCAATGTGCTTCTGAGCTCGGTCTGTACTTCCAAAAAAATGTTTTTCATGTTAGTTTTGATAGTGAAACAGAGAAAATCGGCTCCCTACGTAAAGAGGTTATTCGCTAAGTAAGTTGTAACTACAAATCAATAACTTACAGTGTGGCTGCACAGAAGGATGGAAGATCTTCAGTCCGTAAGGTAGCAAAGCCGTTTGAGCTACGACCGTAACATTGTCTCCGGTTAGCTTGTCTGCTCGTAGTAGACCCCTGAAGGGAATAGTTTTCTCAAAGACTCTCTCGCTGACTACTCAAGTACGAAAACAGATGAACAAGCAAAATAGCGACCTGTATGTCCAGTCACTCCAGTAAAGTAGATCATCGGCTATAGAAAGGGCGAAGACATGAGGTACGGTACCAGAGTCGGATATGATGGTACGGCGACCAGACCCGTCCAGAGCGGCTACCCTTCAAAACAGATTCGGTAGACAGTGCATTGGCTCATAGCAAGGTCCTTGTCACCTCTTGAATAGCAGAAAGCAGCGCCTTTTTCAAAGGAGAGACTTACTCTATAACGTCATTGTAGGCGTCAGCCCAATATATTTTATCAGCATAAATATCGACGGTTACAGCATTCGGCCAAGTTATCCGTTCGGTGATGATCTTCTTGAATGAGGAGCCGTCCATTGTGGCAGCAGCTATGAATGCTGTCGATGACCAGTCCGTCACGAACATTATTCTAAATTCAAGAATTCGTGAGCGAGATCAGCGGGTCTAATTAGTAGAGTATTTCCCCCACAATTGGTGCTTCTAACTGAAAGGCTCGTGGCTTATCACAGCCAGAAGGACAGAAAAGTTGTGCAGCGTTTTTCAGAGTGTCAATTCTGGAAAGAACCGTGCAGGCTTATCGACAATCGTGCGTAACCACCCGTTAAGAGGGAATTCCCTGTCCTCCCTGAGAACTCTCGATTTACTGTTTTGGATTCATTCCTGTTTACGTACCACTACTAACTGACTACTAACTCGGCTCGGGGTTTTGGTGAGAGGTTCTGCAGCTACGAAAAAATTGCGATCAAAGTCAGAATCAAGAAAAACTTGATTCCTAATTAGCCAGGGGATACTGGAGTGTTCTTCTAAACATTCCGGTTGTGGGAGCATGCACGAGGTAAAAAAGGGTTTTCTGGGTAGTCGACTTGACATAGCACAGTACGAGTGTGGAGCGTTACTTCCCAGTGGTGGCGGATAGACGTTGCAAACGGGGTGGCGCACGTTCGCACCAGGATCTGACGCACTCAACATAGCAGGCTACCTGGGAGGTGGCACATGGCTGCGCGTCGACTTCACTTCCCAAGTCAACTCGTACTGCGAGCCGCGACCTTGAACCAAAGCTTCACATCGGCACAGTAGTACCACGCTGAATTAGTGAGGCACTGGTGCGAATGCAGCGCCCACGCCCCTGTCTGCAGCACTCTTTCGCTGTTCTCGCCGCAGCCGGAATGTTTTGAACCACTCCCCAGGATGTCATAGTTTACCGCTTGAGATCATATCTGAGCGCAAAGGTGATTCATGGTTCATTGCCTGATGCCAAGTAAAGGAAGCTCTGTTCGCACTTACCCTTTTGCTGGGTGAACAGCGATTGCTCTTGGAAGTCGCATCACTCCTTTGTACAAAGCTCGTCGATATCGGCCAGTGAGTGTCTGCACAATGATATCTGCCCTGAAATAGATTTTTCATGAAATTCAATGAATTCCTGTAAAACTCCATGGTTCCTATTGAAGAATGGAGTGCATAGTTCTGGCACTTGTTTACTTTCTCAGGAGGAACACGGAACCCGGAAACCATCTATCGTTTAAAGGGAGTCTTCTTCGTTAACTGAACAGAGCAAAAGTGAATGTTCGGACTAGACAGCCCCATGAAAACAAATATGGCGATTTTCGCACGTAGTCTCTGCAGCACTCAGTCACCCTTGCTCTCAAAGCACCCGCACTTCCGTACCCCTCCGGCACCCATACCTATCTATTTTCTATGATTCATACCGACAACTCCTCTCTTGATTTCCTGACTGGTCTTTACTGCTGTTCATCATTCCACCCACACTGTACAACTGATATCGTCCCAGTCAGTAAAAGCAGTGTCAGGAGGGCGGAGGAGAGCCCGTCCCCAGCTTTCCTAGGTCCCTTTCTAAAGTCAAAGTCAAAAGTCAGTTCTAAAGTCAAAGTGATAGTTCAGTGATCGAAAGAAGTGATCGGAGTAAAACAACCAGTTGTTGAACCGCTGCGGATGGGATGTTTTATGGGTATTGATTCAGCCCCGCTTGATTGCCGACAGCCTGCACATACCTAATCGGGCGTGCATTATGTTGGAAGCAGTTCCATTAAGGCGACCGTACCTGTCGCTGCGAATGCGTTACGTCAGCCAGACGGAAATTTAAAGAAAGCCTCCGCGGAGTTTAGTGACATCATTCACTTCACAAATCACGCTTATGATAACCCTTTGCCTGTGTGAAAAGCCTCCTATGGTGTCACTTGTCACATGAGAAAAAATCGAATGCCTCGTGTATTGCCAGAATATGGATCGCAAAGGTCAGAAAACCCCTATTCTATCACCCCCTCAATTTTGGGATGTAGTCATAAGACCAGTTCTCAAACATTACGGAAACTCTAACTTCCTCAGACTGTAAAGATTGCGTCCGATCCAATCGACTGCAATTCCTTCAAGACCGTCCACGTCGTACTTCTGGACCGTCTGAGGGAAGGTGCCGTCCAAGTCGAGCCTCTCAATCGAATTCGACCCAACATCCGCATAGAAAATGCGGCGTTCCTAAAAAAGCTTGTATTTGGTGGTGGGTTAGAAAAAACGGTTTGTTTTGAAGAGCTGTATTGTACACTTCATCAAAAACCCCATATCATTTTTGTGGTTGGTTTTTACATATAAAAGTACGCGAAGCTCGAATGAGCACGGCAGAACACTTCCATATACGGAATTATCAGGGAAATTCGCCTGTTGGGATCCTCAATAGGGGGTCTATTTAGTCGCCGAGAGGGGGGGGTCGTATTTGGGCTGAGAAAAATTTATTTTGATAGTTGATTTTTCTCGCTTCATGGACGTTGTAAAGGGAGGGGGGTCGTATTTGATCATTTTTGGGAGGGTCGCATTTACGGTTTGGCGTTGTGGTGACGTGTCGCTTCGTTGTGCTTTGGTTTGGTGTTCTCCTGTTTTCACGTACCTTATGCCCCCCCCTCGACGGCTCGATGAAGAAGGACAGAGGGCTGGGGGGGGGGTCGTACCAACTCCCAAAAAAGGGGGAGGGGTCGCATAGAGTCGACTAAAATCCCCAACCAATGATGTGCCCTGCCGGAAGAAATTGAGAGCCTGCCACGGTTCAAAAGTGACGCGGCATCGGCGCCTCTGGTGGGATACTGCCGATTGTAATCGTTTCTTTGTCGGGAGCGAGACAGAATCAGGTTGGGAGGTCCGTACGTTCCAAATAAAAACATTCCATGAAAACCACGTTCGCATGAAGCATCCGCACGCGTGCCACTCCGTCTCCATCTCTGGGGTATGGAGTGTAGTGTATCTTATTGACCGCGCTAGCCATAAGCTATATCAGGGAGCAGCCATACTCTATCTGAAAGATTGCTGGCCATTTCCTATCTATTTGTCTTCTTATACAGTCGTCATCCGGCACTTGATTAAGCTGGTCAAGGGTTCGCACGCCGTTGCGGCGCGTCACGACCACGGTGATCAGCCTATTTAATTGGCCCTATTTTTCTCCCTAATTTTCACTGTACTCTCTATCTTTTTCAAGGTAAGTTGTTTTGTTGTCTTTATGAAGTACATTAGGACGTGGAGCCTTTTTTTTACAATAGAGTGCTTGTCATTTATTTCTGAGGTATTTGTTCAATTGTCTGCTTAACTGTTTAATTGTACGCAAATACAAGAGGAATCTCAATCATAATTCACCCTGTGAAGACAAGGGACAACTAATCTTGAGAAAAGCAGCCAAAACAGTGTAAATTAGGGAGAAAACGGCTAAAATAGGCTGATCGCCGCGCTCGTGATACGCCGCAGCCGCGTCGCGACCTTGGCCGCCTAATCAAGAGCCCGGAATGACGACTTCACATCCATGAACATCCAGCTGGATTGACTTTTACTCACCATTATATCAACATCAAGCACTGCGGTTTTTTGTAGACCAGCCTTTTGCAACTCGAATGAACCTCCACCGAGTGAAATATTCCAGATGGATTGCCCATGTGCGAAGAACAGCCACATCGGATCTAAAGGCTAGATTTAAAGAAAACAGTAGATTTCGCTTCTTTGTTGGAAGAACACTGGACCAAAAAAGAGAGCAGAACGATCCCGTACTTGACCAGCTTAACTTTTGATGAATATTAGAAAATCGTCCCTCTTGAAGCAACCAGTTTGCCCCTGTGCGCTCAACTTTTCTAATCTGAAAGCCTGGCTGTTGTTCTCTGGAGCAGCTTTAAATTAGATTTGGATAGACATTATCATTGTCGCACTGATTCTTCATCTAAATAATTTTCAGATAAAGTAGCCATCTGTTACTATCTTTTCTTCAGCTTTGATCAATCTCTTTCGAGGATGCGGCACGCATACCGCTTCCTGGCTCAGTGAAAATGCGATGTGGCCTTTACAATAAATTGGGAGACCCAGCCGAAATGTAAGTCACAGTGTTTTACCCCCCCCCCCCCCAAGGAGTCTGATACTGACTTGGTAGTTCCGCAGAGAGGGAAGGCTTGGTTGGACCAAGGAAGCTGATCCGGGGTTTGGCCCATGAACTGTGGTAAGCGTAGGATCTGCTCCCATTTGAACCTGTAGCATGCCCTGGCCCATCGTCAGCGGACCTCCTATTTTGTTCGGAATATTGTTTTTTTAAGTTGGAGAGCCAAAAATGGTTCAACACACACGGTTCCTCTTCTGGCGATCCCACAGAGGGTTCAATGCTCCATTACACAGGCGCAGATGCACTGTCATCCACTGCACTCTTCATGCACTGCATTCTTTGCAACCTAATATCAGCTCTAGCGAACCGTCTGCACATTTCAAGAAATTTGAAGCTGTATCAGAACGACTTACCTTTGTCATTACGAATACAAGTCTTGTTGTTGTGTGCAAGGCGGTAGAATCCGGGATCACAAGTGCATTCGTAACTTCCCGGGTGATTCACGCATTTTTGTGAGCAGCCTGATTCAGCCGACATGCACTCGTCCACATCTGAGCAGTTAGAGTAGAGTGTAGGTTAAGCACAGCGGACACGATAAAAATAATCAGTTCAGTTATGCTACTACGGAACAATGTTACTGTTAGTGAATGTGAATGTCTGTTAATTACAAATTGTAAGTCTTCGTATTGTTGAGGACTGATGAAACCTTTCAGAGTAGAAGGCAGCTCCCACGTTCATTTGATGTTCCCGCGCCCTCTCTGGATATCATAGCCCTCCCTATGAGGATGCAGTATGTACTAGTTTTGCATCTCAAAAAGGCGAGAGGATAGCGCCGTTCGCTAGTGAAGAGTCGGCCGCCCCGCCCACCTGGCCAGCATAGGGTTCTATATAGGGCATTCCATGATTTTTTTTCTGCTTTTTTCTTCACCACTGGATCACGCATTATATTAACTCATTATTCTTGAAAGCGGGCTCAGCCTTTAAAGGCTAAGCCAAAGCAGTTATGGCAGCCAGGTGGGCGGGGCGGCATCCTCTTCACAAGCGGGTGGCGCCATCCTCTCGTATTTTTGAGCTGCGAAATTAGTACATCCTCCACCCTTGTCGACAAAGCTACGATATCTAAGGAGGGCGTAGGAACATCAAATGAACGCGGGCGCTGCCTTTAACTTCATTTACAGGTCTAAATACACATTCCGTGACTACAATTTCCCCGCTTCAAGGTCTAAATATGACTTCGCAGATGCTCACTAGCTTCCTAGTGGTGGTAATGAACGATTAAAACGGTCGAAGACGGTTGACAAGACAATCGTAAGATGCCCGAGCGGCGCCGCTTGCGCGAGACGAAATGTCCTGCCTAACCGTTCGAATTTGAATGTTAAAGGGAAAGGTTGATATCACGCGGCGTGGAGTCTTGCCTCAGTTGCATAAACATGGCTTTCGCTGCTCCCCGATGAACTGATGCTTATCAAGGATGCTGATGCTGCGGCCGCCGACCGCTACTGCGTGGCAAATTGCTATTCTCCGTATCCCGTCCGAAGACGCCCTGAACAAGGTCCAAGATTGGATGAATATTGGGGGACGCTAGGCGGCAAGCACGGACAAACGATGGAACAGCAAGGCGAGCTGGGAGACGTCAAGTTGGTCCCACACATAATCAACGCAACGCATCGCACCTCGTTTACAGTTACAGAATCGCTGGCATGTCGCGACCCCAGATGGATGTGGCACTTTATCCGGATGGAGTTCTTTCGGCTAACGACGGTAGCAACATCCCTTCACAAAGTGGTTAAAAGGTGGGGCAAGCCCTGAGGTTGCTGTCTGCACTGCTTACTGCACAAAGAGTTCTACCCATATTAGGTATTCGCAGAATGCGTCTTTGGATGCCTTCTTTCTTGACGGTTTCTATGAATGTTAAAACCCACCTATACAC